TGATAATTCACAGCACACAGATGAGTCTCACAAAAGCCGAAGTCCAGCCAGGGATACGTTTGCAAGCGCTATGAAGTACCGCTAGTTTTGAGCATAAGAAACTGGGTAGTGCACCACCCAGGGCGGTAGAAGGCCCAGATTATCTCTATAAAAGAAGGTTCGTCTATAGTCTCCACGCCTAGCAGGTATTAAGTGCGACAGAGACAGAGATAGTTTAAACTTTAAATAATAACAATTGTAGCGGTGGTATGACGTCATAGTAAGTTAAATATAAACAATATACCGGTCTGTGTATTAGTCATAACATTTCATAGCGTCTCATATATTATTCTGTTGAACCTCCTGTGTTTGAGGAGGTTCTCAGTACAAAGATTATGTCTATTGTGATAAGAATCGACTGAAAAATCGTCTTTTTTGGTTAAAATAATAGATATTGTTAGGTCTGTGAAAGTCATGCTTCGCCACGAGTGGGCCGATAGGCCGGCGTGAATCCAGTCTCTCAGAAAGCCGGCGTGGAACAACGCTTTTCTTGTGTTACCCCCCAATACAACCACAGCGCCGTTTAATGTTTCCGGAGGCTCAATCCTCCACACCCCCCCCCCCCCTTCTACCTTGAATTTCTAAATCTTTCAAACCCTAATCCCCAAAAGCCCAAAAACGCAGTCCTAACTCCTCTGATAATTCAGGTGTCTATTATTATTAAGTAAATTACCGACATTCTCCATATAATATTAAACACAGTTGTGTAGGTATATAGATATTATTGTGATTGTGAGCACACATTTAATAGGTAGGTTAGGACCTACAATGACTAACTGCACCTTGCCAACGTGACTTATCATTGAATGATAGAGCTTCCTATTAAATAGGTGAAGGGCAAAATAGTCATGAATTGATAACTAATTAAATATTTTAAAATGTTTATTGATAAAATTGTTGTACGAATTAAAAATGTTTATTATTATTATGTTTTATGTGATCGGGTTCGCGGGGCAAACTTGGCCGGAGATCGCTCTAGACAGAGAAGTTTGGAAGGAAGAAGGGGAGGCCTTTGCCCAGCAGCGGGACACACAATAGGCTATAAAAAAATGAGATCGGGTGGTAAAGTGGGCAAGTCACATCTGTCGAAGAACCGATGACCGTTGGGGTAAACGTGGTTTAGAGTAGAGACCACGACTACGTAGAAACCTAGGCAAACGTAGTGTAGGGTGCCCTCCAGTTAGATGGACTGAAGACATTTGGCTAAGCAGCGGTTGGATGAGAAGAGCTGTACATCGAGCTCAGTGGCGTGCAATTGGGGAGGCCTTTATCCAGCAGTGGACGATATTAGGCTGATGATGATGATATGATGATGTGATCGGGTGGTAAACGAGTAGCCGGATTACCTGATGGGAAGCAATCAGCACTGCCCGTAGACGCTTGCAATACCAAAAGAGTTACCAGTGCGTTGCCGGCCGTTAGGAGATTAGGCGCCGTGTGAAATGCGAAGTGCGATTTCGAGTACAATTGAGTCGAGCAAATAATTACCGGGATGTTTTGTTCTTTTTCGAAAACCAAATCTTAGTAATGACATAATATTCAATCAATAACATAAGTAATACAAGTGGGTCTTAAATTGTACAAATGTTATGTTAGAAGCCTTTTTTGTGTCTTTTTTTAAAACACCTTGTTTTGAGGTGGCGTTTCAAAAACATAAACATCACCCTCAGTCTCTGATCACACAAAGACTTGTTCGGGGAACGAACCCGCCAAACGTTGTGCGGCAGCCAGTTAATGATTAAATACAATGATATTATGTTAAGTATATGAAAAGACAGTAACTAAGTACCCTACTGCCTAGCCTTTCCGTGAACGCCAGGTGTGATATCATATAACAATTATGACGAATATTAAAAGGATCATAAAAACAGAATTCTGCTTACCTCACTCGAATGATCCGCAAACGTATATCAATGACGTAATTCGAGGAAACAGGTTACAGTGTCGAGTTTGAAGAGTTCAAGAAAAGTAAGCTTATATTTTTGTTTGTACATTTGTCCTTGGTTCAATTATGTGCTAAATGTGTGGTAAAGATAATCCAAACTAATATTATAAATGCGAAAGTAACTCTGTCTGTCTGTCTGTCTTTCTTCACGCCTAAACTATAGAACCGATTTCTGTGAAATTTAGTACAGACATAATTTGGAACTCGAGAAAGGACATAGGATAGTTTTTATACCAAATAATTGCAGGGAGTTACTATTTTACGCGAACGAAGTCGCGGGCAAAAGCTAGTCATCTATAATTCTTCATCCCGAAATCTCTAAACCTTATTGAGCCGTCAACGCTTTTATTAACTCCTTCATGTTGTAGATGTCTATGTTTGACGCGAATTGCTTACCATCAGGTCAAAAAATGTCGCCTTGTGTTTTTGTAACGTCAATTTTATTTCTGAACAAATATGCGTGAATTTATACAGGCGACTTTTTACACCGCACCGAAGGTGCATCGAAGCCTCTGACATAAGTTAGTACTGGTAAGATTTTTTTATTACTTATATCTATGTATCTATGCTGAAAAGCTGAACAGTTTCTTAGTCAAAACCAAATAAGAACGTATTTTTGACTGTAAATAAATTGTCCAAATTGACTATAGTAAGCTTTTACTAACAAATCAATACCAACATTAGTACCCCAGCAAATATCAACATAAAACATTTATGTACCAAATATTAATATTTAACATCAATACAGTTAAAATTAAAACAAATATTTATGCAGTCTGTCGGTTGCACCTAATTGGCAACCGTCCAAGTCTGGTATAAGTGCAAATTTTCACGGATATCGTTACGTTGAAATGCGTTTGCGCATTGCGTGGGCGCACGTTTTTAGATCAAAAGATGCAGATGTTATATTTCGATACAGTTAATTGGAAAGTGTATATTTATTATTAATTAAGATTAAGGACTCAAACTTGTTTACTTTTTAATATTTTTTATGAGATTTTGACCTTTGCTGAAGACAGTTGAGAATTAATAACCTAATTTAAAAAGTGTATATTTATTATTAATTAAGATTAAGGACTCAAACTTGTTTACTTTTTAGTATTTTTTATGAGAATTTGACCTTTGCTGAAGACAGTTGAGAATTAATAACCTAATTTAAGTTTATTTTCCCTTATATCTTTAAATGCATATTCTTTGCAAGGACGCAATACCTAAAATAAACCTAGAAATAATATAAGTATATGTAGAATGTCTATGTGGCCTAGATGTTAAGGTGGCCGCTTTTCATGTATGAGAGGGCGATTGCGAAACCTGTCAAGTAACAATATGAAATTTTCGAGTACTTTTTATGATTATTTAGATACACGATCAAGGGCTGATTTTTCAATGGTTAGATTAAAGTTAACTGGGGAATAATTATGATGCTGCCGCGTCAGAATGTTTGTATAACACAGTGACAACAACAATTTTATTCCTCAGATAACATTTATCTGACTATTGGAAAATCAGCTCTAACAAAAATAACGTGAGTAAATCTGATCTTATAATTTGTAATTATAAGTTTAATTTCACCAATCCGCCTCGAGGCAAGCGTGGTGGTTAATAGTTAAACCTTCTCCGCGTGACAAGAGGCCTTTGCTGTGGGCCCTTATAGGCTGATGATATAATATATATAAAAAGTTTCTGTACTTGCCTTGAAGCCATTCATCGTACCTACATTTATATAGTTACCTATAGTCACAGTTATATAGTTGCCAAGTTAATTCGAAAATATGTTCACTTTATGCTGAACAATGCCGACTCTTTATCTGATTTTAATCGCAGTTCAAACAGTAATAATCATTTTACATTTCATAAACACAGGTAATACTTGATGAAGTCATTACAACAGCTTGCTCTAAAGAGGATTTAATCTAAGAACGTTTATTTTGCGCACTACATGGCGGTAAACTAGCAAAAAGTCAACTATTAAACTTTTCATATTTTTTCATTGTTGTACAGACATTTGTCGTATTTTTTTTTCATTATTTTATTACTTTATCACTTATATTCACTGTGAATTAATTAATATTTATAATCCTGAATTATTGACTAACTTTAAATCTAATTGAATATGTTTGACATCCTATTTTAGTTTATTCTTATTGTAAGTGTTTTCATTTCGTAAATTAAGATATTTTTCATAATGTAAGTTTCATTTTGTATACGAATGTTGTGCACATGTATTATTCACACTAACACTAGAATAAGGCCTATTAAATGTAAAATAACCGTGTATGTTTTTGTGTTGTTGATTTGCCTTAAATTAATAAATAAAATATACTTTCGCGTTTCATGTTAATAACAGACGAGTTGTGTTATGCGAATCACTGGATGCCACGTCGGCGATTTAAATTGTCATCGACGTCGGTTAAAAACACCTGTGTAATATGGTACAAAATAAAAATGATGGGTAGAGATTCATCGCCCGAATACAAGGAGCTGTGACATCGCATCTTCAGTCTGTTTGCAACCACGACCTGAGCAACCAGGTCAAAACGTCAAGCTTTTCTAGATGCTTAAATAATTATTTTTCGCAGTAATACCCGGTCAATAATATGTTGTTAGCAAAAAGGAAATTAGACAAATACCGCAGCTTTGAAAAATTTAACGATCAATAGAGTGACGCCAGCTTATTCTATTGAATAAAAAGATCCGAGGTCCACACTGGTACCATCTAGTGAGCAAAAAGAGTAATAGCCGTTTAATGACGGACTAAGCGACCGGTTAATATCTAAATGCTTGACTTAGTGACTGAATGTCTCACTCAGACCGAAATAATCATCAGAACTGAGTTTCAACCAAATTAGAATATTTGGTTAATGGAGATCTGTGATCTCAAAATAAATCTAATAACATAACAATAAGAAATAAATTGCTTATTAAAACGTAACCTAGTTGGCTGCGAAAAAAATCCAATTGTTTTAGCTTTATGACTGTGAAAAAGATATAGCCATTACAAATAAGAAACACTTACCGGTATCTCCAACAGCTTGGCTGAGAGTGTTTTCAGTGACAGGCCGCAACGCTTCTACAGCGCTAATGTAGCCCAAACGGTCAGCTATAGCACACGCCGTTTGTCCATTCTAAAGAAAAAACATTTAGAAGATCAGTCATCAAGTTTAAGACATGTTCTAGGAAAATAGAAATAGAAGTAGATTAGAAACCTACTAAGTTATTTAAAATAATTTATAATTATTACTCATAAAGCTTTCCTGAGAATCAATAACAACAGGGGTTTATGATCATAAGCGGAACTAGTAGAGTAATCATAACAAAAAGTTACGTGAGCGAACTTTATAAGCTAATTAATTTGTGTAAAGTCACGATAGTTATAATTAATGAAAAAAATGAAAATCGGGCCAAGTCCAAGTTTAAGTTGCACACAAAGAGATGTAAATGTTTGTAAACGCACCCACGACACATGAGAAAATCCTAGTGTGGGGCAACGTTTTCAAATAAAAAAATAAAAAAGTTTTGTTGCAATGGAGGCTCCGTAAATATTTATTGAAACAACGACAGAAATAAAATGATCTGTCCAATTTCGACAACCTAGCTACCAAGGTTCGTTTGACACAGCCTGCACACATTCTTACATAATCCGGGCGGATGGACAGCGGACGGACAGCGGAGTCTCTGAAAGGGGTCGTCCATAAAGTACGTTACACGTAAAGAGGGATGGGGGTCGACAAAATGTGACATGATGTGACAAGGGTGGGAAGGGCCCTAAGTTATGTGACGTCACATTTCAAAATATAATGTATCTAGAGGTATTAGTCAAATTTAATATTTTTGACTCTATCTTTCATTCTTTTAAATCATTTTCAACATGATATTGCAAAACACAAAAAAATGAAAAGTGCAAATATAAAACTTATTACTAACAGCGGATAGAGCGTTAGGGTCAGCATTATGTTTGAGCAGCAGCTGTATGATGAGCGTGTGGCCCTGCTGTGCCGCCTGGTGGAGAGGCGTGAACCTGCAAGAAAACAAATGTAAAATACTTCACACACTATTTCTTAAATATTCTTCTTTTATAAGATAGGTCGGCTACGCTTCTTTTATAAGATACGAAGTGACGTATTACTTGATGGTAAACAATCGAGAGAGAGTTCTGACACTCCCTCATGTCGGCAGCCGATCACTGATTACCTGATAGTAAGCACAATCGCAACAACGAAAGAGTTACGAGTGCGTTGCCGACCTTTTGGGGATTAGGGTTTCGGGGATTTAAAGGATTGGTCCTCCGGTAATCTCACTCACACGGCGAAACACAACGCTGTGATTGTTTCACGCCGATGTTCTGTGACGTCACTCCGGTCGAGCCAATCCAATCGTGCCGAAGCATGGCTCTCCCACATTTATTTGATGATGTTCAGATGTCAGAATAAAAAGGTGTAGGTACCCGTGCGCGGCCCTGGCGGTGACGTCAGCATTGGCGGCGAGCAGGGTCTTGGCGGCGGCGTGGTGGCCGTGGTGCGCGGCGGCGTGCAGCGGCGTGTACCCGTCGCGGCTGCGGGCGCTCACCTGCCCGCCCGCCGACAGCAGCGCCTTCAGCACGCCCGTGCGGCCCTCCGACGCCGCCAGGTGCACCGGGGTCAGACCTACTCGACCAATCATACGTTATGTATTTGACTAATACTTTCATAATTATCATTTATTACTCAGATATTACAATTCCTAATAGTAGTTAAAGACTTTCACAACACTAGTGCTAGCGCCAAATTAACAAAAAAGACATTAACAAAAATAGACAGTAACTAGCTACCGCCCGCGGCTTCGTCCGCGTGGTATGTTGATAAAACATGTTAAGTAGCCTATGCCCTATTCCGAAGTGTATCCTATGCCAAATTTCATCCAGATCCGTCCTTACATTTTGGCGTGATTGAGTAACAAACATCCCAACATCGTTACTTTTTCATTTAAGTATAACATTAGTAAGAAATAAGATAGTAAGATAAAAGTTAATGAATAAAAAAAGTCTATGTAATTTTGGGTTAGGAGTGTTTCAAAATCAGCCAAAACATATAGAAGAAAGGATCCATTTGGTAGAGATGTTAATTTTCATACAAAAGAATCAAGACTAACTGTCTACATCAATTTTTGTATATAATTATACTTTTTGTTGATTAATTAACAGCAAAAAATAGTTTTGTTTTTACTGTTAAATAAATAAAATAATAAATTTAAATAATTTTCTTCTATTAATCAAAAACAACTGAAAATACGATTCAGTATATTTAACCATTTTGAAACACTTCCTTGCTCAAATTTGGTTTTTAGCAACATTATTTATGACGAATAACTCCTCACCATTATTAGCAGGTACGTTGACATCAGCTCCTCTTTCGATGAGCATCTCTACGCAATCCTCATGGCCCTCCTGTGCCGCCATGTGCAACGGAGTGAAGCCAGCCTTCGATTTCACGCTGGGATCCGCATCTAGAAGAGAAATAATTCACTCAATCAGTATAAGTAGGATTATTATTCCATTCAGGAGTAAGAATAGAAAGAAGGAATAATTTAGGCATGATAGCAAAGAAAAGAGATTTTTTTATGTGATAGGACGGCAAACGGGCAGACGTATTCGCTGATGGTAAGCAATCAGCGCCGCCCATGGACAACCGCAACTATAGACGAGAGTTACGAGTGCGTCGCTGACGTTTTGGGGATTAGGAGATTTTAGGATTGGGGGAGGAGAAGGATTGGGCCTACGGTAACCTTACTTCACGTCGGTTTTCTGTTAGGCCGTGGTATCACTCCGGTCGAGCCAACCCATTCATGCCGCAACTAGACTTTCCCCGACTTTATATTATGGTAGGATAATTATTCTTTTTAGGTAATTATAAAAGATCAACTTACCATGTTCAAGTAATGCGAAAGCAATATCCGGATGGTTATGGCGGCAGGCGATGTGTAGAGCGGAGTGGCCATTCTTCGCCAGCGAATGTGGAGACGCTCCTACAAAGAACACACTCTAGCTTACTAACTCTAGCTTCTACATCACACGTTAAGAAATTAACATTTTAATAAGGATTTTAACAATTCAAACTATACAACAATGCCTGTCTATTTGTCTATTGGTGGAGTCATTTTCTATAGCGAATTATATGAAAGAATATATCATATTTTATGGTTGGGGAAAAATCATTCAATTTTTTGCCCTGGATGCTTTTTTTTATTCAATATTATTTTCTAAGGAAATTAGTGCTCTGAGAAATTTAGCTGTCTTTCTACAAAATTACTTATCTGTTGTTAAAATAATTATAAATGATTCATGATGATACTTTATAAAAGTCAAAATAAAAATAATTGCGTCCTATAAATTTATTCAAGTTTTGGCCAAACAATAAACAACTAACAAATGTTGCTAGAACTATAACTATTTCTAGCACTCTCCTATTACAAACACAGTACTTAATCTAAAACCTAGATTCTTTAAAATCTTAGCATTGACTAACCTAACATCCAAATTCAACCTATGTACCCAAAGTTTTAGCTGGGTTGAATTTGGGAGCTCTCAAATAGAAAGCATATACTTAAACACAAACGAAGTTCAATTACCTTTGTCAAGTAACAACAACGCAATATCAGGGTGTCCATAGTAAGTGGCCATGTGTAGCGGAGTGATGTGTGAGCGGCCCGGGGCGTCGGGGGCGGCGCCCTGCGCCAGTAGCAGTCGCGCCACGCCCGTGTCTCCGTACTTGGCCGCCAGGTGCAGTGGAGTGAATCCCTTGCGAGTTTCCGCTTCTATCGCTGCTCCGTTCTCCAATAGTATTGATGCTACTTCTTCTTTGCCTGTTAGGAAAAGGTTTTCAAGGTTTTAATCATCAAAGGAAATTGGATTTTTTATATGGGTCTTCTCTTCTACTCCTCCATCATAGTCATATTGTATATCAGACAACTGAATAATACAACTATTCTCTTAATATTTAAGACTGACTACTCAGTTCATTGATAAAAGGACTATCTTAACAGAGAAAAAATTATTTCGACTCTAACTGAACTCGTCGTGAGAAAGAAATGCCCAACGACACAACAATTACCATTTAGTTTTACTTTTAAAATGATCTCAAAATATCCACAAAGATTCCGAAACTAATATTAGACAAATATTATATAAACCGTTCTGGAGTTCTTAGCCCAACTGATGAACAAGCTGAACAACTAACATTTTTTATGTGAGCATTACAGATATTTTTTTATTTGTTTGTCCTCTATCGTCATGATTAGTCGTAAGCGATGATGTGACCTATGATGGAGCACACCTACCTATTCATAAGCCTATTCATTTGGTCTTTGGAGATACTATTGTAAAATGTTTAGTTGATTAGTCTTAATATAAGTACCAGGACCACATAAAATCAACAAATTAATATAAAATTAAATGGGCGATCAGACGACACGATTCTTAGAGCGGTCGGGCACTTTCGATCGCCCGATTTAGGTACACTAACAGCGAACATACCTCGCATTCCATCGGACCTTAGGGACTTAGGGCAAGACGAAAGGTGCCGTCAAAAGAAAGAAATCATCAAATGACCTCTCCCGCCCAGGGTGAGGCGAGAGAAAGACTCTTACTGACTAAAAAGCCTCCGTTCCTTGTCCTGCTCTAGGCCGAGGCCAAGGCGCTTACCTCGCAACCTCTGATTATTTTTTTTATTTAATAGGTCGGCAAACGAGCATACGTGTTACCTGATGGTAAGCAATCAGCGACGCCCGCATGGAAACCCGCAACGGAGGAGTTACGAGTGCGTTACCTTTTAGAGATTAGGGTTTTGGAGATTTATTGATTGGGGAGGGATTGGGGAAGGGGAAGGATTGGGCCTCCGGTAATCTCACTCCCACGGCGAAACACAACGCTGTGGTTGTTTCACGCCGGTTTTTTGAGAGGCCGTGGTATCACTCTGGTCGAGCCGACCCATTCGTGCCGAAGCATGGCTCAGTGATTGGTGCTTACCCTCCTTGGCGGCGATGTGTAGCGGCGTGTACTTGTCCTTGGTGGTGGCGGAGACGTCGGCGCCGTGTTGCAGCAGTAGCGCGGCGATGTCGGCGTGGCCCAGGCGCGCCGCCACGTGCAGCGGGCTCTGCTCCTCGCGGGCGCGCGCGTCCACCTGCGGATCCATGGGAATATTTGGAAAAATAGCCTCTATTAAAGATTTAATTGATGACATGTTATAGAACGAATCACGGAATAGAAATTTCAGTGGAAGTGCCGCTCAGATATCGCGCGCTATTAAACATCATGATAAGATGAACAACATTTTGCATGTTCGCTGTCATCGAATCGTGAATCAGTCGTTTCGTTGTCGTGAGTGGTTTTCGTGGTTGTCTCTAAGAAACACGAAATATATTAGAAATTATGCCTTGTTGTGCGGTTTTCAACTGCAAAAAGGTAAGCAGAAAAAAAATGTGTCTTGTGGAGGTGTATCGTATCACCGTTGAGTATTTACTAATTTTATAGCTTTTTTTATGTGTGTAATGCAAAATTTAATTTGCGAATATGTGAGTTTGGCGACACATGTTTTCCTTTTGAAAGAGTGTAGGGGCACTTCTACTTAATTTTATGTTTAGTAAAATGAATGCTCAATCCACTATTGAAATTATTAGCTGTCATATTAGTTCGTTATATTTACTTATATCACCGACCACTCTCATATTTATTTATGACATCTATCACCTAAAGGTCAACTACTGTTACACGATGCCTAAGACATGAAGTCCACTTGTACATTGTGTAAGTTTCTATTAAAATAAATAAAAATTCCAGTCTACAATTAATTACCTACCTACTTTGCAAAAACACGTCTAATGAAAGAAACCAAATAACAAAATCTTCAAGAAAATCTCACCTTAGCATTATTCCTAAGTAAAACCCTGACGAGATCAGTTTGATGCGCCCGCGCAGCTAGATGTAGGGGTGTCTCGCCGCGCGCCGTCGCCGCATCCGCAGGTGCGCCCGCGCCGATGAGTACAAGGGCTATGTTCATACAACCCATGAAGGAAGCCACGTGGAGCGGTGTCAATCCTGACTCTGTGGTCGCTGATTTACCTGGAAATTGGAGTAGTTGAAAATCAGTGATAAGTTAATTTGAAAACTTAATGTAATAAAGAGCAGGTGGCTAATTATGAAAATGGTTTAAAGATATGTGTGCTAGAAACTCGGTATATCCGGTATTTAGGTACTATACTTTAACTGTATACGGTTAAGTTAAAATTAATGTTTTTCACTTTCCTATTTCCAATAATTATGAAATCGGCCATGGTGTTATACGCAGGGACTTTAAGGCAAAAACTTTATGAGCCCCATTTTGTAATACAATGGACACAATTCCTTCGAAATTAACATAATAAAAACCTAATCTCATTTTTCGTAACTCCGGCTAATATAATAAATCATTACTTGGCTTGTTATGTGAATCAAAATGTATTCATATTTAACTCACTAGCGCCATATTTGAGTAGCAGCTCGACGACTTTGAGCCTGTTCTTCTTGCAAGCAATGTGTAATGGAGTAAACCCGTTCAGTGCTCGAGCATTCGCGTCTGCATTCCGGTCTAGAAGGAGTTTTGCGACCTGAAAGAAAAATATTTTGTATAGCAAAATCAACCTTAAATTCTCCGTGGTTAAGTTGATTTTAGCTTAAAAGCTGTTTCTGTGACAAAATTTAAATAAAAGTTTATATTAAATTAGATTCTAAACTCAATGCAATGTAAAATGGAGTCGTGCTCGTATTCATTATGGTTGCTTTTATCATAGCGAGATTTTTAATAAAATATTATCATGATGTGGGAATTCGAAACTCGAATGTTTTTCTTCGCGTATAAGATCCACTTCAGCTTAACTTTACCACAATATTTATCACTTACAACATTATAATAGAATCTAAATTAGACTCTTAAATCATAAAAAATAGGCATATATTACCTTAACGTGTCCACAATGTGCAGCGACATGTAATGCAGTCAGGTAGTCAACAGTGACGTCATCGATGGGAGCGCCCTCTGCCAGCAAAACTTTGGCCGTCTCCACGTGTTCGCCTTGTACGGACATGTGGAGAGGGGTCAAACCGTTCTGAAATGGGAAAAATGAAAATTGAACTCTATTGTCAGATGTTTTAAGGCTTATGTTGATTTCGCATCATTTCCTTTTGAAATTGGTCACCGTTTTACTCTAGGCTAGGTTAAAGGGTATTTTCCACGGTCAAACATAAATTCCTTTAAGATTTGAATACAATTAAATATTGATGGATTTGACGATATATTTAATTTGGACTTTATTAGTTACATTTTAACCCCAGCTTAACATCAACCCTATTGGGCCTTTTCTATGGTGGTCTGAGGTTTTTAGAGGCGCGCGCGGAATGCAATGCGCACGTCTGGGTATTAGATGTCAATACGTTATTTGAGGAGAACATAATATATTATTTGAAATAAATAACATTTATATGTATCCTTTCAGTAGTTAGGTACATAATATAATGTTCCCTTTATATATACAAGCAACCCTTTCCCATTGCAATATCAATCGAGACGCTGCTGCTGCATCAAGCGCTTAAAAACTCCCAGCTCTCCCTTTCTCACTTTCTCCATTCTCTTTCTCTCTCATTAGCCTAGGTTAATTACCTTAGTCTTGCTAGTAATGGGTGCGCCATGTTGCAGTAATCTCGCCACGACATTGCTATGTCCGGAGCGCGCCGCGCAGTGTAGCGGGGTCAGTCCGTCCCGCGTTACCGCCGCTATGTTAGCTCCTGTAAAAGAATAGTTTCATATTGTAATCAACAAATACACTACAAGTTATTAACCTTTCAATCATAATAATAAAAGAAGAATAATAGGTGCGCGAACGCCGGCGTTCGCTTGGGGGAGGAATTAAAGGGCCACGTTCAGCAGTGAACGTCATGTTAACGTTGTCTAAAAATTTATTTCGGGAGGATTTACGAGTGCCGTCTGAATCTGGGAGAATTTTATTCAAAAAAAATCTCAACACATATAATAAATGCAATAACATTATGTAGAAGTAAGGAGCTTAAGAAGGTTCGTATGATTTTTTATAGGTATGTGATAGGACAGCAAACTAGCTGACAGATTACCCGATGGCAAGCAAATGAGACGCTACCCATGGACACCCAAAACCCCAGAGAGCATTAAGAGTGGTTGCCGGCTTTTACGAGATTATTATTTAAGTTCAATAAAAATTGTAGGAGCATGTTTTTTATATAAAAATAGCGTAACTTTGCATTTAAGCTAAAATAAACATAGCAGTGCAGTGCAACAAAAAAAAAACAAAAGAAAAACATGGCGGCGCTCATAAAATTAATGGCGGGAAATTTCTTAACCTCACTTTTCACGTCAATTTCTTTCCAAGCGAGACAAATTGCCAAATTATAAAATGAAATTCGTATAAAATTGTACTTGATCGTATCTGTCAATGTCTGTGGCTCTCAGACGTATGCTGCCTGGCATGATGGCGGACTGAAGTTTGATTGACAGTATATCGTGAATGTTGCCCAATTAAAGCAACATTCCTACAATATGATATTTCAATCACATACGAAACATAATTAGTCGCGTGTTAACAAAAAAATAATGAGAACATATGTAATTATTGAGTCACGGCGCGGCGATGAAAATATAAGCGATGATTTATGTGATTTTATTATAGTAAGTATTAAATTTATTTCGTTTAACTGTCTCTAAATGGTATCATTTTAACGAGAGATTCTGCAATATTTTTTCGGACTAGCTATAAATGTACTAATACGATTAAAAGCATTTAACTAGCTGTAAATATTAGAATGAAAATAACATATAACATTAATTATTTAGGGTCTACTTACTAGCGGGTTGCTAGCAGGATAATTTACTAGAACTTACGAGAACAATGGACAGTTGATGATAATTATGAATCTGCATTCTAATGCCTTTGGAACTTTCTTTCAATTTACTTTAAATAGACAGCTCTACAGAGTCAGAGAGAGTAGAGCTCAGTCCGACCAGCTCATTCCACACCGTTAGGTTAAACCACCTTCTAATATTATAAATTCGAAAATTCATCAATACGGGTGAATAGTGATATATACACTGTAGTCTGGAATAACACATAGGCTTTTTTTGTGAGGAAAAAATCATGAAATGACTTCTGAGGGAGAGTGAGACTCTTACTAAAAACCTCTCCTGCTCTAAGCCAAGGCCTATGCCTAATTGCGCTTGCCCTGCAACCCCGGCTGGGAATAAAACTTAGGCATATTATTCGAACCGTTGGCAAAAACTATTATGTGTATAGAAAAATCTTTTACCATTTTCCACAAGCAAATCGAGCATAGCCAACTGTCCCCATTTGCTGGCGACGTGTAGAGGGGTGATGTTGTGTTTGGCGGCGCGGCCTGCGTCTGCGCCGGCCGACAGCAGCGCACGCGCAACTCCAACGTTGCCATAGTGCGCCGCTATGTGCAGTGGGGTGAAGCCTGACTTCGAACAGGCGTCTGGGTTGTGTTCGTTCTGTGGATAAGAAATAATTTTATATTTATTAGTACTGTACTTATTCGTAACTTGCCTGTTAATTAGTTCTAGTATGCCTTAGCCAATTCGATATTATGTGTGCGTTTTACGATACAAGTTGTCTCTGACAACCAAACACAGCGTTGTGTTTCGCCGTGTTAGTGAGTTTACCGGAGGGCCAATCCCTCCCTCTACCTATCTCTTCCTAATATTTATATCCGCAACCCTTATCCGCAAAAGCCCGGCAGCGCACTCGTAACTCCTTTGGTGTAGAAGGTTTCCATGGCGCCGATTGCTTACCATCGTAATCCGTCTACTCGTTTGACGACGTATACCATAAATAAAATCAAGTGTAAAATGGGTGACTTACAATAAATGTATCTATGACATTTCTTAAGTACCTTCTGAGACTGTACAAAAGCATATACTATTTTTTTTAAGCTTTTACCTCAAGCAACAGTGTAGCTGCTTTAACATCATTCTTCTTAGCGGCAATGTGCAGCGCTGGTAATCGAACCTTGCCCCTGGTGTCTGATTCCAATAGTTCTGCGACTACTCGGTCGTGGCCTTGTTGCATTGCGACTGCCAGAGGGGTGAAGCCGTCCTGAAACGAGGGAAGCACCAATTTGTTACAATTTTTACAAATTTATGTTGCTGCTGTGTAATAGCTTAAAGCGTAGTCTTCCACCAGAAAATAAATTCTTAAAAAGAATTTGTTCAATTCGAACCAGTAGTGACTGACCAAACACAAACAGTGTTCATGAGACTTAAAAATAATATTAACGTAAGTTTACGCGTGTTTAACTATCACGTGTTTCTAATTCAAAGCACGTGCTTTTGTCAAAAACATTAGAAATTTGCTCCAAAAGAATACTCTATCAAAGAATACAAGTCAGAACTGACCTCTGTAGCTAAGGTCTGACTGGCTCCAGCCGCCAATAGCATTTTGACGCATCCTGCATGGTTCTCCTGTGCCGCCATGTACAGTGGAGTGAAGCCGGCCGCTGACTGGGCGTCGGCCTTTGCCCCCGCCGCCAGCAGCGCCCGTGCCACTGATTCTTGCCCCGCGAGACATGCTATGTGGAGTGCTGTGTTACCTGGAAAGCGAGGAAGAATTTTTTAAAAAGTTTGTAAGCAATGCAAGCCCATGGTAAAGCATATTTCAATTAACGTGAAACGGTTTCAAGACCAAAAAATGGCAGGCGATCATGGTCATATAGTCAAAGCAATAGCTGAAACTAAAAAAGGACCTTTTTTAGTTAAAATTAGGAATTTTATCAATTTAAAACATGTTCCAAGCAGAATAAAATGAGAGAATATAAAAAAGGAACTGTTTGAATCTGCTATCAAGTCAATAATTAATTCGACCATTTAGACGTAATAAATAGGTGTTGGTTAATTCGAGTCTTCTTTGTAAAGAAAGTGTACCTTTTTTAGTAGCTGCGTCTACTGTTGCGCCTCTCTTTAGTAACTCCTCGACTACGGAGATGTGTCCATCTTTAGCAGCCAGGTGAAGCGCATTCAGCCCGTTCTGAGGACAAGAAAAGAATAAGCTTACTAAAATTATTTTCATAACAAATAGAACCACTTTTTTAATGACAGAGGGACTTCTCTATTTGCAATGGGGTAATGTTTGGCCAATATTTTGCCTGGTGGTAAACGATGATGCGACCTGCGACAGAGCATGCCTACCCATAAGCAACCTATTCACTCTAGCCTTGAATATTAACCCTCAACCTTTCGGTGACACAAAAGATGCTTAGTGTTTAGGGAGAAAGGAAAGAAAGGGAGGGTGTGGGATTCTACGCTAAAAGCACCTTAGTGTCTACAATATCTTTGACTCCTATTTGGGGCCACCGTTTCCTATAAAATTTACCAGCTCTGAAACCCCCACTACGCAAAATCCCAAACCTACCCAATGAACCGTGTTGTAAGTATGATAAAATCGAATGTCAAAAATCTAAGCTACCTAACAAAACGTTTGGTGAATTGGCAAATCAGATGTTGGAGACAAAAACTCTCGCCACTAAACATATAATTTAAAATAAGAAGGCAATATTGAGGCAAGTCTTATAATCATAGGTTTCCGAGGCACTAGTTAAAGGGCCCATAAAAACATTGCTGTCTTGACAACACCTGACAAAATTACAGGAACGAGAAACTTTCGGTTAACACAATAGAACTTACAATGTATGGAATACTGACAGTAAAACTCAAACATCAAACGGCCCATAACAGTCCAAACTATGTTGGGATATGGGCTTCCTCTATATAAGAGGATTTGTTATAACTTCTACGCCTGGCGGACCAGTTGGATATCGTATCGTCTTAAAGGAGCAGATACGTCAGAGAGAACTGTTATCCAAAACCGATCAAAGTCCTTTAGTCGTTGTAGACACCCTCGGTAACAGTATCTGGAGGTGCCAAAAGATATACAACTCTAGTACAGGGTTTCGATACTCAGGCAAGTAAATAATACGAGTACATACCTATTTCTTAGACATGTACCATAATTGATTTTGTACTGTGAGGACAGAGGAGGTCTATAAAGACTTGACCCATAATGGTGACGATGGCGGACAACGAGATGATTTTAGTTTCCTTTGCCTTTCTCCTTAAAAACTAGGCACCTTTTAGCCGGGGTTGCGGGGCAAGCGCAATGAGGCACCGCGACCAGAGCAGTAAAAGGAACGGAGGGACTTTTGGTCAGGAAAAGTCTGACACTACCTCCTAACCCTGGGCGGAACAAGTCCTTTGATTATTTTCCCTTCACAAAAAAGACGTGTTTTGAAAGTTTCCCCGAAATAAAAAAGGTCATATTTTCAACATTTGGATGCATTAGCGTTATCAATTTTATAATCTTTCAGAAAAAACTACATACAACAGTACCAATACACCACTTGGATATGCTAGTCAACTCCTCAATTATACAGGATATTATGAAAAACAGGTTTTTAGTATGGTCTATTGGAACAATAGTCCACGATGAATGGTAATATTATGCTGAGTAGCAGCAGTACAATAGGTAATTACAGTGATATTGCTGCTAGATAAATTGTGAAAGGCATTTCGGCAGGATTCGTCCTAAAACAGTCATATCTATTGTTTATAGCACTAGTTAATATTTGTCACTCGTTTTAAAACGAAAATTTTAACGTCAACATGTTTAATGATCGGAATAATGGAATCCGACGTGAAACAATTTACACACCACCGTGATGTTACGTAAGGTAAAAAGAGTTCCAATTCTTTCCTAAATCCCCAAAACCCCTTATCCATAAGGCCGGCAACGCTCTTGAAAAACACAGATATCCGTATGCTAGGTTTAAAAAACATTCATTCATAATAAAGTTACTGTTTCGTTTCAAATAACATGTGTACATAAGGCTTCAATGAAACATAATACAGTTAACTAGAGCGAAAAATATTATGACCATGATGATATTATGATTGAGCTTCATTTTAAATGTTAAAATAAAATTAATGTAAGTAGATAGATATCTATATTTTACTATACCGACGTACGCTTTAATTATAATTACACGCATACTTGATCATTGATCAACCTATTTTTACCGATCTATCCACTTTGGCTAAAAAAAAGTTATGTTGGACCATTATGAGAGAAATATTGCCTAATCAATGTAACGCGCGTCCAAATGCGATACCAGCGCCACCTATGACGCGAAAACTCAATATCAAAATGGTAATATAAAAAAATAACTCAATATTAAAATATCAATATCAATATCAAAATATTGTCTCTAACTGAACGACTCGACTATATCTATTATGTAACAAACTAGGATTGGAACCTTGAACGTGTCCCCCTTCTGTCAACCAATATCAGGCATCCAGCCTAGCTGATTGGATGACACGCTGACTGACAGTTCCGCATACAGTATTACTGCACACGATTCACTTAATAAAACTGTCTGTGGCGAAGTTTGCACGCGGATGGAATCGATTCAGAATTACAAATAGGATGTTAGATTTAAAAAAAAAAATTACACAGTTGCTTATGCAATTATAAAATTATTCACGAGATGTTTTTTGTCTCTTGATTTTTGCATTTTTTTGGGATGGAAGCATAGTAGAAAATAAACAGATAGATGACCCGATGAAAATAATTAGTTCCGTCCACGGTCACATAGGAATAGGAAGATTTTTCAATCAAAAACAAATTTACTAAAACACCGTTCATCTGTAATTTTACGATATACATAACATTAATTAATATTTTGTCTCAACAATCTAATCGAAAATGATTGACAATGAATTTGACTACTTTTTTCGTTACAAGTATTGAATTTGACTCGTTGGAAACTATCATAATAATACTAGAGGAAAATCTCAAAAAAGAAACTAATATATCCAGCAAGTGGTAAGAATAAAGGCAGCTATTTCTTATTAGCACAAAGCCGGCTATTCCAATTAATGGTGTGATGAGACGTGACAGCTAGCGGGAAGCAAGATAATTTCCGTACAGTCAGAAAGTAGCGCAACTTATTCTCTGTGATTTGTGTTGTGTGTTTGAATTTACAATACTATGTGTGAATTCTAGGGTTTTTAAATAATCCAAACCAATATTATAAATGCGAAAGTAACTGTCTGTCTGCATGTTTGTCTGTCTGTCTTTTCTTCACGCCTAAACTACTGAACCGATTTATGTGAAAGTTGGTACAGACATAGTTTGGAACTCGAGAAAGGACATAGGACAGTTTTTAAACCAAAAATCTGCAGAAGTCAATATTTCACGCGGGCGAATTCGCAGTCAGAAGCTAGTTTGTATTATAAATACGAAATTAAGTTACTTAATCAAGTGATGTCACTGTATTTTTAAATGAATAAATTATAGAGTCACTTCTCTCACCCTGGGTGGGATGAGAGAGAGTCAGGCTCTTACTGACCACCGGGTTCAGTCTCCTGCTCCGGGCCGCAGCACAATATTGCGCTTGCACCCGTTACTCTCGGTGTGATTTGAAACTAGTAGAGAATTGCTCGAATGACTCACGTGAGTAGATATATTTTTAATTTTTTGTTCTGCACGGTTGGTGCGGTGGCTGGGCAACTGGCTGCCGAGCAATGTGTAGCGGGTTCGATTCCCGCACGGAACAACTCTTTGTGTGATCCACAAATTGTTGTTCCGGGTCTGGGTGTCATGTGCATGTGAAAATCCTAGTGTGGGGCAACGATTTTTTTTTTTCAAAAAATATATAAGTAATAATTTAGAATATCTAGCCTTTTGCACTTGTGATTATATTATTATGTAGCTAAGTTTATTTACTTCTATATACCTGATTACTATTTACGTCTGAGTTTTTCAAGCAATCTTCGTGACATTTTGCATGTGTAAATACAGATTTATATAGTTAGGTGTAAGAAAAAGGACGAGCTCCCTACATAGGAAAATGCTATATAACAAGGGCAAGGTTTGCTAAGCACGTTTTTAGATTGTCATGTATAGGATACGTACTTACAATTATTTGTTTCTAAAATTAAATTGTTTAAACCGTGTTTGCACTGTTGCTCATTTATAAGTTTACTTTTAATGTAAGTAAATAAATCTATAAACAAGACTGGTTTTGGTTTAAAAGATCATAATTTCAAAATTTATAAAATTGTATAATATCGTGGATGATTCAAACTAAAACTCGGGCTCAACCACGATTGATTATAAAAAAAGAAATCTTATTTTATTTCACTCGATATAATTGAAGATAAATATTTAATAAAAGTCAGCAACCACCTAATCAACACGCAATTAAAAATAAACAAAAATAGTTTTTACCCGATCAAATTAAACATAGTCCTACGTATTTAAAAAAATCATAGCCAGGGTCGCGGGTCAAGCGCTAGAAGATACCACTGTCGGCCTAAAGCAGAAGAAGAAACGAAGAGGTGGGGGGAGAGGGGCTTAATCAGGTAGGTACTTAAAGAAGTTATCAACCTCACCTCATTATAATACCCCTTTAAAAAACATGATCATATCGATTACGCTCAATTTTGTGAAGAGATAAGTTGTCGCAGATCGCGATCGCAAATGTAAACCGATCCTTAGTTCCCAGTCGAGCGTAACAGAGTCAAGCGAAGGCCGTTTCGGTGACAATGGATAATATCGATATTATTTTTTAATTACAGGTTCGATGCTCGATTCGGTTCATTTACTTTGTTTATAAGTTACGTTATTAATAATTTGGTTGGTAATGATTTATTTTTTACATGTGGCAATATTTTTTCTTAAAACGATTTTATTAATAAGCAGTACGTAATTTAACTGATTTAAAAAGTTTTTGAAAGCGTTAAAAATGTTCCAAAGACGAAAATAGCAATCGGATTTGATAATTATTAAACTTGAGGAAGACTATCATTATTCTTCTTCTTCAGCCTCTTTCCTGCAGCCTTCTTTAAAATGCCAAGTCATTTCAACTTGCCGACATTGTCAATTATGAAACTTGAAACTTTAAAGTGCTTCTGAGAAAACAAATCCTAAGGAAATATAAGTAAGAAGTAAGTTTATGACAAACTGCTTGGAAATCTTAACGATATACTTAGATTCATCAATCTATAACTGTTAGCAAAAAAAAAACTACGTTTAAAAAAACCGACTTCAAAAACAAAAAAGTGTCAAATAATTAAAATAGATATTTTAATAGCACTCTTACGTACGCGAAGCTAATACTTTTAATATTAATAATAAAACACTATCAACTCTATGTGCTACCTATTCATAGGTTTAAAGTCGGTGCCAAGCCTAATACATAATATTATAAGCATTTGATTGATGGCCTTAGCGTAGAATCAGAAGTCTATATTGTTTCGTTACATGCGAAATTATATATAGCTTAGAAAGATATTCGGGTGAAATATGAATTCTAAAAGTTTTCTCGTACATAACGTAACTCGTGGGTTGTTAAAAGTAGTAGTAGGTAGGTTCGTTGTTGGTTGTGGAAATTTCGTCCTTTAGCAGTTAAACAGTCTTATTTCTCATTTAGTTTTATTCTGTTTAGGGCTTGGCACCGACTTCAAACCTATGAATAGGTAGCACATAGAATTGATAGTGTTTTATTATTAATATTAAAAGTATTAGCTTCGCGTACGTAAGAGTGCTATTAAAATATCTATTTTAATTATTTGACACTTTTTTGTTTTTGAAGTCGGTTTTTTTAAACGTAGTTTTTTTTTATTTTTTACTTTTTAGTGTCTGTTACAAGTTCTCCTGTAAACTACAGTAACATTTTAAATATAAATTAACATATTGAATAGTATATATATTTTTAAGTAGCTATGTGTAGGCCTGCGAAAGTAGCCGCTCTATTAAAAAAATATAGATCCCAAGAAATGGGAAAGTTCTCATCATCATTATCATCATCATCATCAGCCTTTTTAATGTTCCCACTACTGGGTCACAAGCCACCTCTCTAGGAGAGGGAAAGTTCTTATCAATATAAACAAATTAAGTCCAAACACGAGGTCGCTACTGTAAACCGTTGAGGAGTTCCCTAGACTGTCCTTCGTCTTGATCTCTAATGATAGTCACAATCCATCTAGATGTAAAGTTATTATCAAAACCAATTAATTAAGCTCAAACACAAGGAAGCTGCTATGAATCGTTGAGGAATTCCCTCGACTGTCAATGGTCTCCATCGTCAGGTACACTGCAGACCTTCAGTTGTTATAATCCATACAGGTACAAAGTTTTCATCAACATAAATGAATTAAGTTCAAACACGAAGTAGTTACTGTAAGCCGTTCAGGAGTTCCCTGAGCTGTCCTTCGCTCTCGTCATCAGACCCTTAATGATAGTTACGACCAGTCTGGTGCAAAGTGCTCGCCAATACGAATCATTCAAGCCCAAACACAAGGCAACTGCTCCAAATAGTCAAGGAGATCCCTCGACTGTCTTCCAGCTCCAACATCTGGTCGACTTCGACCTTCGTCAAGTTGTAGTGTTGTTAAAGGCCTACTTAAACATCATACAAAAAAACTACTCGCCCCTACAACTTTCGAAAGTTCCCCTCGGTTTCTCCAGGATTCCATCATCAGGTCCTGACCTCATGACAATGGGACCAAATGGCAAGTATAACCTATCGAATAAAAAAAAAATTTTGCAAATCGGTCCAGGCGTCTTCGAGTAATCGGTGTACATACATAAAAAAAAAAAAAAAAAAAAATACTCGTCGAATTGAGAACCTCCTCCTTTTTTTGAAGTCGGTTAAAAATACTACTCTATAAAGCAAGCAAAACGCAAAAGCTCAAATCGCACGTATTTTTACCTCTTTGCCATTCATAAACATTACTATTTAAGGGAACACAGCAGGACCACAATGGTGGCAATTTATTAAAACGACCGTAACTAATATTTCACACCAATTTATAACATTTAAAATACAATAAACAATCGCATTTATTTTCCGCGCCATTTTTGCAAAAGGCAAAGGTATTTCCATGTACAGCCAACACCGTATTGTTCGGCCTATTACATAAGGCTTCAACAAAAAGTTGGCTCGTTTGTAAAACCACTGTAATGTCGACCATGAAATGTATAATGCGAATGAATGGATGCAACAAAATAGTTTGTTATCTATTTTTATGATGATGATTACCCCACCTGCCAGGATGTCCTCAATATGTCAACGTGTATCTGATGCCATGGGCAGACAACAGGGTTGGCGAATGTGAATGATTCCCACTTTACTTCGTTTATGGCAGAAATTTCAGAATCTGTTAGCGATGATCCCCAATACTACGTTTTTAGATTAGGACTGATTAATCCCTAAGCGATATTTCGCCAGTTTCATCATTTAATAAGTAGGTATTCTCTTAGTATCATACTGACAAAGTTTATCATAAATTTAATGTGTTCAGTAATGAACAGTCCAGAAATAAATATCAGCTGTTTATTAAAAGTAGTCTAATGACTATTAATACAACAAACAGTCCAATCAAATATCAATTTCCCATAGCGAAGGTAATTTATTTGGTACTTCCGCCAGCCCTGAATACAACTACTGTTGGTAGCGTACCGCGTTAAATGCGTGTGCGCATTTCATTCAATTTGCGTCGTTACCGTTGCAACAATCAACTCCTAAGAGATTAAAGTGGTAACACGGTTTTAGAATCTCGAGAGACCTTGCGTTCTGTAATGTAAATTATCCGCGATATGTCAAGAAACGGCCGGATAAATTAACTTTGTTATTCACCCACCTTTCTCTAAGAAACTGCAGTTTATCACACACCAACCAATAACCAGTTTTCTGTTTCCATTTTATGCCTTATGGGAATAGACTGCAGTGTTTTATTTTCACAAAATTGTGGGAATTTAATTGAAGAATATATGGAAAATTGATTACAGCAAGGAAGTGGACAATCAGCGCAATTAGTGCAAAACTTTCTCCTGGCCTTTTCTCAAGTAGGTTAGGGTCCGGACTAAGTCTTAGCCTAGTAAAGGCAGTGGTATTAATATTTAACTCTAGAAAACATATCTGGGATTATCGTATACTTTAGAACAATTCCAGATCGTTACAGACCAGAAATTTTAAATTGTGTAATCACAAGGACCATTAGGTCTATTTCTTACTTTTTTATTAACTTTAACAATAGCAACAAAACAATTATATTAAGCAAATGTTCTTCTAGCTCAGGAAAGATTTCTTCTAATTAAACTCTTGAAGTCTATTAGACCGAGTTAGGATGATTATGATCGTAGAACATAAATACAAGTATTAAAGCTAGACGCGACAGTGGCGATAATGTGTAGTTAAACATGTACAACGCCTCATTTAATAAATAACGATGTTATACTAAGAAAATGTCATACTATTTGCAGTCGACGACGTTTTATTTAAGCGGATAGATAGTACTAAAAAAGGGACTATTTAAAACTAAATAGTGAACAAAAAAGGTGTTAAATATTGGAATGCAGAAATTCTATTTTTAAAACAAAATACAAGGCCTTGTATGTTATAGATGAGGTGTATCTCAATGTGGACTGAGATTGGAAAAGTCAAAGCAAATCTAAGATATCTATGATAAACAGTTGGACTTAAAAAACATTTTATAAGGATTTTACCGAAATTACCGAATGATGTCCAGTAACAGAACACGAAATAGAAATGATAGAGAAGAAAATTAACTTACCGAATTGCATGTGTTTATGTCTTTGACGGCGCCGGAGTCTAGAAGATCGACAACTGTGTCGAGCTGACCGGCGCGCGCCGCTCGCAAGAATGCTGTGTTTGGTTCTATCTGTAATAAAGGAAAATATGCAATTACTAACTAATTATAAGCTTAGATACTTTAAAGACAACGTCTCTTTTCACGTCCTATGGCTGGCTTGAGTAAAAGTAAAGAATCCATGAAAAGATCGTAATATCTGTAGACCATCCTATTCCAACATTATTCAGAAAACCATGTTCTTCAAACAGTATGTGGCTAGACGAACCAAACGTCACAATTCCCACAAAGACAATAATTAGTTGAGAAGAAATTCTGCTAAGAACGCGAAAGTAGAAAATGTTCTCACATGGTCCAACAGTCACATGTTAACATCAATGACCTTTGGCACTTCATTGTGTAGACAAAATGCGTTATCCAACCTTTAGGTTTATCGTAACCCCTTTGTTTGTGAGGGGATAAACATCTCTTCTCTCGCCCAGGGTGAAGTGAGAGGAAGTATCAGTCTCTTATTGACTAAAAACTCTCCCGTTCCTTCTCTTGTTATAGGCTGAGGCCTTGGTTCCTTATTACGCTTGCCCCGCAACCCCGGCCGAATGGGCCGTCCTAATAGGCCCTGTTTGTGGGTGAGCTCAAAAGCCCTAATATTGATGTTTAGTTTCTTGATTAAACTATTATCTATACGAACTAGAAGTAATATAAACATAGTCAATTGTAATACAATCAAGTATTCACGATATTTACATTGCGTGACTAGACAATGACTGACTACAACTAAGCTGAATATTTTACGTTCCCAATCATGAATGAACACTGAATTGATGCTTTCGATTAATTTTTGACTGGGCCATAAATATTTATTAGATTGATTATTAACAGAAATATCTGGGGGTGGTAGTGCATCAGACAAGTCTCCAGCTAAACGGCTGACTATAGCATGAGAACATACGTATGGTACCAGTGTATCAAGAAAGTAACGAATTAGAATATTTTGATTTTACGATAACCAGCCACAGAGCGATGGGAAGTATAGCAGCGAGGATCCTTTACATTAAGTAACCCATATTCGATCCCTAAGCCGCCTGCGATGGGCAAACAAAGACATTAGAAATATCAATTCATAAGTGATCTTATTTCTGGATTAAAAATTATAACGATGTTTAATTTGGTTTCCCGGGCAATTTTAGAATGAATACTTAACTTTTTTGACAATTAAAATTGTTAAATGACTTTCAATGATTCAATGATTTCTACCGACTTAGAATAGGCACGACAAGAAAAAGAGAGAGTTAGACTCTTACTGACTACAACACCACGTTCCTTCTCCTGTTTTGAGCTGGGCCCATATATCTGATACCCAGGCTCAGATCAGCATAGATCTCGAATAGAAGACTGTCTCTTAGAATTGTTTTCGAGATATTAATATAAATAGTTTTAGCATTGAAGCTTACTAATATTATGCTAGACATTCCTATAAATAGATAGATTGGCAAGTGAAAATTCAATGTTAACTCAGTCCATGATAATATTTGACTAAATTATATTAATAAAGTGTTGTCGTGACCGGACTTCAGACTTGTCGGAGCTTTCTACTAATGCTAATTTGTTGAATTATTTGCGAAAATTGTAGGTACAGTCGGGAATGTTCGGTTTACGAGTTTTTTACCTATAAGTTACTATTATTAAATCACCGAATTGAATTGTGAACTTGATTGAAAGAGTAACTTTTGAGTTTCTTGGTCGTATCTACTTCTCAATAGGGATCTACATTTAGGAACGAGTAAATAGCTTCATCAGACAGACTGACACTGTTTAACTTTTGATTTTTAGCTATTTTTTTTTTTTTAGCTATTATTTGTTTGAAGTTCAAAAATGCTTACCACTGGTCTATTTGAAAGTGATTTATTTGACTTTGAATTTGATATAAACATACATTGTAAATAAACTTGGTAGCGCACTAGGTATGTGTACTTGCCTGTCCACCGATCATTTAGTCCGACTGTACCTCAGGTAAGCATTGGATAGTCGATTTCACTGCTATTAACCAGATATTTAGGGCTCGGGACCCTTCAGCTCGTATATCGCGAATGCCTGATAAACCGCTAGTGAAAGCAAATAAATAAGGCTCCTTAGAATTGAATAGGTACTTATTAGAAAATTGTCTGGGTTCCTTGCTACGACTGTTAAATCAATTACTTTAAGTATTTGATATAGTAAGACCAAGAGTTTATCTCGTGGGTTCGTTTTTTTTTCTCCATTTGTTATTTTTGTATTGTTTCTTAAAGACATTCCTTGCAAAACGTTTTTTAAACTTATAGAAAATGCGAGATTACTAGGTACATACTTGAGATTAACCTATCGCATCAAATTACGTCATAAGTACCTAACAGACGGTATGACATCGAAAACTGAAAGAGAAAACTCAAAACAAAGGAATTGCGAATTCATAAGACAAAATTCTACGGAGTAATTTTGATATCTCGATAAATTGAAACCGAAGAGACGTAACCAACTAGATACTATTTAATATTCCCATTTCATATTGGACTAAATACACAGTTTCGACAAGGCTGTTAGCTTTAGGGTTAATTTGATACAGTTCTAATAGGTTATTGAACAGTTTTAAAGGTCACTTCTCAGGGTTGTCAGGCAAAATTTCTTACCTTCCTATAACTCAATTTCTAGTTCGAATAACTTTCCTTGTGTTCAGTGATCGTTTTAATAATGGGTTCAAGATCAAAGGGCAAAGTTTGGAGCGAAATTCCTAAACTATTAAACGCTGCGTATGTTGTGCGGTATTCGCAAACAACGCTTGTCATAACATTTTTCACAAAATAGTATAAAATACACTGTAGATATTATTTTTGATCACTTTCCAAAGGTAATCTTATAAAAGAGTCCCTTATTCGGTTTAGCATTTCTTCTCAGAGTAGTCAGACATGAAATGCTGGTTTTATCTAGATTTCTATATAATGTTGGCGTGAAAAGTGACGTTTTATTGTTTCATTGTTTATGTGTACACGAATAGTCAATTTATGAAGATAATGTTGTTAAATCACTCAACTCAATAGCTAGTCACATGTTGAGGTATAAAGTAAAGTAATAGTAGCGTATACTTCAAGACAAGGCATTTTTATTGTAACTCATTGTATAGTTTATCCAGTGCAAGTTGATGGTAAAATGGTGAATAATCACATAGATTTGTCCATAGTCGTGTTCGTGCCCTAAGATTTCACGCCTCGAGCGCCGACCCGGTCGACAGCTTATCCGTCAGTAGAGGAAAAAATCTCATTTTGCGCTCTATTTCCTCAACACGAAGGGCCGTCAAATCTACTTATCGATAAGGCCCGCCCGATGGAACCAATACCTGCTTATTGAATAAAAACATTACAATTTTTCAAGCAAAATCTTCAATTATTAATAATCTCGCTCCAAGCTTTTATACCTTAAACGGTGTGGCGATAATATCGCTCGATGATCATAGCATTATCTATTTTAATACATGCAAAATAAATGCTAATTTTATGTAGCCTTTCTCACTTGAGTTGAGAGCAGTAATTATTGGAGGCTTGTACTTAATGATGACCATGTACGTCGTAAAGCTTTTTCTTTTAATCAAGTAATTTATATATTAGATTAAGGCTATTATAGCCCACGATAAGATGTTTATTAGCGTTCATACAGGTTGTATTAATACTGACACACGACCATGATTATAACAATGTAAAAACACCAACTTAAATGAAGGACATTTCACACGTTTAAAAAAATACTAGAGATCACACGATAAACCAATAATAAAGCTACATTAACAATGGACATTCTACAACCAATTACATAAAAGCTGAACAGAAAGGAGCGAAAAATTCTAGAAACAACCAAGTCATAGGTACACTTAAAGAAATTAAAATGGCGAAATTCAATAAACTAACAAACTGTATAAAGTTTAATAAACCTGAAGAAAAATCCGATGATATTATTGTATTTTCGCATGCCGCGACAACCTACGATATGTTTATTGCGATACTACGAAAAGTATAAAATAAGAATCGTCGGAATTCTTACAATAAGTGCAGTATTTTTAAATGAGAAAGACGCTTCTTTGTCTATGAACTTAATGTATTTATAACAAGTAACGATGATTTTAATCACATTTTATAAACTGATAAATGTGGAGTTGTAAATAAACATATTATGGTTGGAAGCAATATTAATGTACGGTTAACAGTAATAAAAGAAACATAAAATATAGAAGCACTAGAATAAGAAGTCTAGGAAAAGCAATTTAATATTAATAAACGGACGCCGTTCTTGCTCCACAAACATATACATAAATCTACAATCTTCTTTATCAATTATGATACTTAACTAGTTTGAACATGAACTGATCAAACAAAAATGTAGGAAGAAAAATCCCGTAGATGATTTAATTCCTAATCATAATAAATTTAAAGTTATAAAAGAAAAAAATGTAGCAATAGATAGATAAACCAAAGTAGCTTTAGGACCAACAAAAGAAGTAAAAAATAAACAAGAGACTTAGAAAATGTAAGGCCTTAACAGATTAACAAGATAAAACATCAACAAAGAACAATAAGCTCTTGACTGTTTAATAATTCAATCAATACAATTTGAACGAAGATATTACTGAATTGATAAATGAAGAAATTTCCGTAAGCTCGTCTCAAGATGCGGAGATAATTTACTTCGTGACTTCGGAACGATAGAATTTAATCGAATACAATTTTATGCGGCCATTGACAAGTATTATTATGTGGGATTTTAAAATTAGTTTCTTGAATTATTTATTTTGTTTCTATTTATTTATTTATTTAAAAATAAGCACACCAACAATACAATCACCCAATGTTATACAAAAAACACAATAATCAAATAATTGGATGCACAAGCAATTGTACAAATTACAGGTGTGCATGACATTGAAAATGAAAGGTTTTTGAGACTTATATAACTAAGCTAATAATTAAACAAAAAAACAAAAAACATGTTAAAGCAATAACGATGGGCACTGTTCACATTGTTTAAGTAGGGAGCGTCTGTATGATGCGAAG